CAACCACGAGAAATTAAAAGAAGACTTCGTGCGCTGTAAGAACTTGGAAGGAGCATTCCCTCTTGTTTTTGAATACTGTGTTTTTATATTGTTCTCTACAGGTGCTCTTTTTATTATTATTTTCTGCTCGTTTCGGAAGAATCAGTAAATAAAAACTTCAAAATTCATCTTTTAATTTATAAAAGTGATTTGTCTAAGCTTGAATCAAAGTGAGTTCTGAAAAATTAAAGCGGGAGTTAAGATGATCTGAAAAGACCGCTATCGAAAGCGTAAAACTTCAAAAGCAAAATGTACTGGTGCAAACTTTTAATTGAGCGTTTTTCTAGAACGCAAGGCTAGAGTATGCAAAAGAGATATTCCAGTTTCGTAGGAAATGCTAGCTAGTGATCACGAAAATCAAATGATCCTCAATCCGGGTCGTAAATGATCCCGTGGAAAAAAAAAAAAAGAATCAAAAATTGAGAATGACATATGGAGTTTGATCTTCGGATCAGCTTTTCTTGGTTATAGCCTCAAACGAAAGAAATTAAATTTATTCATTTTACGTTTCCTTAACTAGTTCTTCAGATAAATCAATTGTGCAAATCGCATATACAATCGAGATAAGCAGACCAAAAAATAATTATATTTTAAGCGTATATCGATATCAATTTAAGTGGTGAGAACTTTGTAGGGGTAATCAAATTGCGACGAGTGAAATTAGGAAATTATTTTACGCCCGTTTTGTGCAAATTCTAATAATCGCCCGAGCCTTTAGGGGAGGGAAATAATAAGAATTTTGACAAAACGCGAGTGAAATTATTTCTTGATTTCACGAGTATACCATTCGATGACCTCGTGATACCATAGGTGACAAAATTACGCTTATAATTGTGGATGTTTGACTTGTTTATTGTATCGACAAATTTCGCGCCAAACTTTGCCTTGGCAATTTTGTAATGTCACAAACGAAATTATAAATTAGTGCTGAAACCTCGCGCCAAAATTAAGGAGTAATTTGTCAGTCATTATATTACATAAATTTATATGCGAGTGACTTTTTTCCCCAGTTATCATCTCACGGCCAAAGATAATGCAATCTTGATTTTAAAATTGGAAGACGCACTCTTATTTCAGCCTCTCTCTATCCCAGTCTCCACAACGGCAACGGCATGCGTCCCAACTGCCAAGACTACCTTTTGACAATGACCATTGTATCAACGACTTAAGAACGGTGTAAACAAAACCCGATTTTTCTTTTTTTTTTTTTTGAAAGGTCACCAAACTTGATCCGTACCTAGCGTCGTTAGTCTCTATTTCTGTTTGACTTCGCTTTTATTAATATATTTTGACTGTGTAACATATCGATATGCTACAATTCAATAAGCATATTTTTAAGAAATAAATAAGTAAATAGACATCTTGTTAAATGTCACATCACGGCCCCTACATCCCCATAACGTCCACCTCTCCGGAACGTCCACTCAAGATAGCCGTTGCGGGCAGCTAAGACTGTATTAAGTTCTTCTTAAGGCGTTTATCTTTAAAATTGTTGGTTACACAGTATATGAAGTTAGTACATGTTATGGACTACAAATTTTGAAGAAATTATTTAATTTGGCATCCGGTCTGATATGTTCCCACGAAAAACCACGTGCGTACTTCCGGAAATCTAAAAAAATATATATTTTATTTAGGGCCTGTTTACAAGGAGAGAGGGTTACCCTAGCAAGCGGATTAATTTAGCAAGCGGGTACCCTAGAACTGACACATTTCCTCTTTTTTCTTCGTCGTGTACACAAGGCAGCTAGGTTTACCCGGGTAGGCGGGTTACCCTATCTGCGTGTTAGGGTTACCCTGGCAGGCTGGTTAACATTTTCCCTTATAAACACTCCAGGTAGGGTTAACCCGCCTACCCGGGGTTAACTTTCTATTTGTTTCCAGACCCTTGAGTGATAACCGCGCATTAAGTTGTCCCAGGTTGCAAGGTTACCCTACCTGTGAAATTTTGCTTGTAAACCCGGCCTATCTTTTGCCCTCCATTAGGGTTAACCCGCTTGCTAGAGTAACCCTCCTTCCTTGTAACCAGACCCTTAGTATACCACACAAAAGAAAAGTGCTTTTTACGCGTTCTGATTGGTTATTTCTCTGAGGTGATTAGAAAAGTACTGTTCGCTTCCGAGCAACTGAAAAGCGAAAGACTGGCTTATTGTCAGAAATAAAGCTCTGATGCGAGCAAAGAAAAACAATCTGCTGGAAAAATCTAATCGCGCGAGAGGAAGCCTTGTTTGTTTGTTTGTTCATCCTGTGTGAGAGAAATTAACGGAACTCAGGCACTGGGAAATAATTTGCTTTATAATTTGACTTGCAGATTTCAAAGGTCTTGTAAAATACTCAAAACATTTAACAGCATTATGGTAAAGTAGTAATGACTACAAATCACAATAGAATTAACAGTTGCAACATAATGGACCGATGAGAACTTGAGGTAGACACAGAGAAGGCGCTTCAGCTTGTCTCGAGTTGGTTTTGTTTAGCATCTAATTACTCTCTATATAAGCCTTTCCACTAA